GCGCACCATAACCTCTATACTGTCGTCCCGGCGCAGCCAGGGGGTGTCGTTGCCTGGAGGCTTCAACAGCGGCTACTACATATCTCTCCGTGGTAAACACTTCGTGGGGAAAGTGATTAACAAGTTGGCTGGCTTTGGAGGGATGGCTTCGGCCTCTGAGTTCCCGGCGGAGCCGACGGTGGCGCGACTAGCGGCGTCTCGTCGACACTAGGACTCCGCCTCGGGCTGCGCATCTGTTTAGTTTACGACTTGCAGATTCTCGTCCCTCGAACTGCCCGTTGCCGTTGGTACTACTGTCCGCTCCGTGACAAACTATCGTCCTACGGTTGGCCAGATACGAACCAGATACAGATCTCACCAAGTCCCTATCTCCAGACACGAATCGCTTCGCATTGGTTCTTGTTCCCTCGTCACTGACGCTGACTCTATAATACCTCCCGGTCAAACGGATTTTACTACGGATACGAGGCTTTATAAACTTCCGGCTACTTTTCTTAGATTGTTTGATCTTTATTTTTTATATCGAAAATCAAGATCGACAAGACTGTTTTTGAGAATTGTAATAACATTTTTTTATATCTTACTCGAGCTTACGTCAGATTGATTTACGATCATGGCTCGTTACGATACGATCGCCTGACCTCGCTTCATCGCTCCCGTGGGATTTTACGTGCAGGTACTCTCAGTCTTTATTTACATTGGTTAAAATAGTTTTTTCCAGCGAAAATCCTATGGAGAGAATTACATTTCATATTACCATATACATTTGGCTGGGGATCCTGCGGGATACTCGTACCTCCTCTCTCCCGTCCGACGTTCATTTTTCCGTTATGTTTATCCTCCCTGCCGACTGTGTATATATTTATCTGCTTTATATACCGGAAATACATATACGGGACTTGCTGGTTTTACGAAATTGCTATTTCATTTCCAGCACCTTCGCTTCGTTACCGGTCCTCCAGGCTGCCCTCTTAATTTCATTATCCGTCCTATCAATGATCCTTCGTAATAAGATATTTGCCCTAATGGAATAGCAAAAATTGATTAGCTCCAGGGTCGAAACGTCGTTATCGGTTTTATCGTTTTTTTTTTTCCCTCTTGCCACGGCGCCAGGGGTCAATGACCCTGGACCTCTTTCGTCCGGCCGTATGTCCAAGTCTCGAGTAGATCTCGAAGTGATACGTTGTGTCGTTCCTCGACCGCTAAATTCGATCTTTGACACGTGTCGAAGGCTTGCCAATCGCTCTGGTATCCCTGTAAGAAATATATACATATATACACACAGTACGAACATTTGCCGGTTCCTTGATAAGGTGAAAGAATGGAGGTAAAAGAAATGAAAACAACGACAACAACGCTCTCAGCCTCGCTCCTGTAATACGAAGGGGTTAAATTGCACTTTGCAAAACATCACGCGGAATGCGTCGGACGATACAGCACGCGCAGTTAATTGAATTCCGGAATGAAGACGAAGGAACGGACGACTATATAGATACACACGTATAGTACACAACGGATCCGGCCGTACGGCCCTACCACGGCCGGACGGGCCAGGCCGCTCGACGCAGCCGGCTCTTTTATAGAAACAACCTGCACTACACACTTTACCCCGTGTACACCTGGCACAGTCCAAGGCCCCTCTCCGTTCTCGCCCACCCGACCCGCACCTGATCTCGACTCAGGAGACTTACTTTGCCGACCGTAGCCACTTTATCAGAGGGACTGCAATTCTGCCAAGGGAAAATGGATCAAATACATTAGTCTCATATAATCCGGACAATATGAGACAAGTCCATCTTGAGTTCCGGTATATTACGTACTACATTACCGTATTATATCCGTACCCAGATGCATTAAGGAAATTAAAGTGCATAGGGAGGATAAGGGTTAATTCGTGATTCTATAAAAAAAATGTAAAAAATAAAAAATTTATTTTTTAATTTTATTATTAAATCTACGTAATGAAAAAAAAAAATTCCAATTTTTTTTTTTTTTTTTTTATATATGTATATATAGTCCACGTCTTATTTCTTTACTATATCGACCCTTAGTGCATCCCTGCCTGGCGCGTTTAACGAGACGTGAATAATTTGACAAACTCTTAAGGGAGGATCCTTATCCGCTTTATCTGTTCGGTCTTCGCCACACGATAAAAGAAGGGCTTCCCGCGAATACGTCACTGTCTTCTCGAGGGACTGTAAGGGAATATGAGGGAACACGAGGGGATCGACGGGAGCGGCCATTAACGACGCATATCTCACGCAACATCGAGCCCGAATAATACCCTCTTAACACGATCACTCCTACGGATTCACAAGAGAGATGTTGAATTCGTGTTAACTATCTGACTCGGTTCTTCCTGGGCAGTGGTCGTGAAGCGCGGGGAGGGGCAGAGGGGAGGGCGCGACGAACAAAGGAAGTATATAGTACTGGAGTATATGGGAAAGGGATAAAAGAAGAAATAGAAACGTATACGACGAAGGGGGGGAATAAATCCAACCCTCCGTAAATCCCGTAACGACTCCATTGACAATCGAAAAAGGGCCTGGGCCGTATTCGATGAAGCCATCGTTACCGACGGAATGTATATTCCATTGCACGAATACAATTACGGTAATGCAACCCGAGTCTATCCGACCGGTTATCTGTGGAACGGCCGAGTTTCCATCTACGGCCGCACGGAGCTCCGTGCGGCCCGTGCTTTTTCACTGTAGGCGGCCGCAACAGGCTGATTACTATGGGAAAAGAATCTATTTCGCTGGTTGCATCAAAAAATAGAGGTTAAGTCGAACAATGCGAAAAACTTTTATACGTAGCTCGACGATACACGGTAAAAAGTGTTGCGGACGGGAATATCGATTTTTAATCTTATGAAATGAAAAAAAAAAAAAAAAAAAAAAAAAAAAAAAAAAAAAAAAAAAAAAAAAAAAAAAAAAAAAAAAAAAGAAATTAAAATGTATAACTTGATAAAAAATTAAATAACGCTTATCGTTTTTTAATCGACGTCCTTTATATCCCTTTCATTTAATTCGATGACTGGCAGTCATGCATGAGATATCACTGGTATTGAGCACACGTCATAGGGGTTTGGGGTTGTTCTTTCTGTTTGTGCTCTTTGATCCTTTCTCTTTGTCTAACGAACTTGAAACTTTTTTTTTTTTTTTTTTTTTTTTTTTGAAAAATACGAGCATTCGACTATACCAATATCGCAGTCTCTAACGGATCCGCCTGGTATGCTTTTCTGTCTGATAACAGATTTTCTACATTATACCGAAATATATATATATAGGCGCTTTGACCTGCCTACCATACATAGTAGCGAAACATGTTTCTGCTATTGGATTGCGGTGAGTCTCTGCTGCACCTCAATTATTTACGTTGCTACCACCCGTTCGCGGTTATGGAACCGCTGATTTACTGAGTTAACTTGACCATCCATTTCTAGGACCAAGTGAAACTCTGCTATGTGGAAGCAAGAAAAAAAAAATTTGTATTTTTGTTCCTTTAACTCACGGACCAGTAGTCAAGGTCCTTTTTGAAAATAATTCACTCGAGACATTAATCAATATATTAATTATTAAGGATACTAATTATAGCCTGTCTCCTGTAACCTCACGTTTATCAATCATACTACTTGAATTGGATACGTGCTTGGTACGTGAAGCCTATAGCCACCTATGCCGGCTATGAAATTTCCATCAGAATCTCTTCCGGGGATTTATACCAGTTTCTTCCAAGGTTTTCCAGCCAGCCGGAAGTAAAGGTTACACAGCTAATTTCGTATTCAGAGTGAAATCACGGTGTACCGCGTAACATCGACGAGTCGTCATTCAGCGGCGTGACGTAAATTTTTTAACTATATGCATCCTCATGAAAATACGCAGTAACGTAGATATTCAGGTACTGTGTATACAGGGTGTACATAAATTTAAGATGGGCGAATGTCTAGGTGTGGGATTTATGCAGACGACGTAGGGAGGACAGCTGGCTTTACGATGATCCTCCTATCCTGAAGTCATGTCATTCTGTTTCCTCCGTAGCCGAAAGGGGACTATAACGGATTTGCATCTCCTACGGTTTGACGATCTCAGTGGATCCACCCGGGTCATCCCGACTGATAACGTAGCCCACTTCCGGTTCTCGCGTACAGAATTCGAGCCTATCAAATGGAAGTAAATTATAAAAAGTGTTTTTTACACTCGGTAGAACATCGAAACGAATCCAATACTCACTTGGGCAGATCCCCTTCCCCCTGGACGCACCCCTGCGCCAAATCCACCCTTGGAAATAGAATTGGGGGTATGGTGCTCGTAAAAGGCTAAAATGGCTATTTCATTGCAGCGATAAAACCAAGAACTTCTCGAGCTAGGATAGTTGGCTGGGAAGTTGTATCAAGTCCTTCCGAGATTAAAGTCCTCTCTCGACTTGCGCGTCTCTACAGATTAGACAGTTTATTACTTATTTTCCGGTTAATGTCCCTCGGACCATCCCTTGAGCTTTTTTACTTTAACACAGAAAGGAGTATATATATATATATATATATATATTTGTTCCGTGGTAAATTTTGTACCGTTTACCTATAACCGGACCAGTCTAATCGTCTATGGAAAATTTACGAAGCACGTAAAATCGTTACTTTTTTACTTTAACACAGAAAGGAGTATTGCGCGTCTCTACAGATTAGACAGTTTATTACTTATTTTCCGGTTAATGTCCCTCGGACCATCCCTTGAGCTTTTTTACTTTAACACATATATATATATATATATATATATTTGTTCCGTGGTAAATTTTGTACCGTTTACCTATAACCGGACCAGTCTAATCGTCTATGGAAAATTTACGAAGCACGTAAAATCGTTAAGTCCCGGATAACGCAGTCGACGCGTGGGAGAATCCAGTCCCGGGCATTCGCACTCTCGGCTCACGGCTGCGTGTACTTAGGAGGGAATTCAGTCCCTTCGACCTATAAATAATCTCCGTGCTCTCCATTGTCTCAGGTATATTCACGGTCATGTGCTACAACGTGCTGTGCGACAAATACGCAACGCGGCAAATGTACGGATACTGTCCGAGCTGGGCGCTCGATTGGGAGTATCGAAAAAAGTGCATCCTCGACGAGATAAAGCATTACGCCGCCGACATCATCAGCCTTCAGGAGGTCGAGACCGATCAGTTCTACAATTTCTTCCTGCCCGAGCTCAAGCACGAGGGCTACGACGGGATATTCTCTCCGAAGTCCCGAGCGAAGACGATGGCGGAAAACGATCGGAAGTACGTCGACGGATGCGCCATTTTTTACAGAACGGCCAAGTGAGTAAACCTTATTCTTGAGTATTGCCTAACCTGACGTAATCTTACTTGACAATCTTTTGTAACCTGTGTCTATATCCTGCGTGTACGTAGGGTAATCTTTTTATCTAGATAAAGATATGACGATTACTTCGCGTTATCTTGAAGATACTTTTTTTTTTCTTCCTTTCTGGAAGACACTTCCCGTAGATCGACATTCGTTGGTACATACTATCGGATGCTACTCCTTCAAAGTGGACCACATCTCTGTATACATTTATCTTACGACTCTGGAAACGCTCGCTCTTCGCCCGAAGATCGACGCCAATTTCCGATTTCATAATAAAGCATCCTCGCGATTTATTCTTATACCGACGAGATGGGAATAAAGTTAAATTTTTTTTTTTTTTTTTTTTTTTTTTTTTTTTTTTCGTCCTGACACACTTAATTACGGCAAAAGTGAGAAATGTTATCTTTCTTCTTGTCAACTTTTTATTCCAAGCATTTTTTGTTCATTCTCTCTCTCTCCCTCCTTTTTGCTCCTTTATACCAGAGGGAGAAGAATGGAGGGTTGGACTGTTCATCAGAGTGGAGTCTTTGTGTCTTGGCTCTGCCTCCTTCTTAAAGTAACCGCCGAGCACGCGCCTGGGGGCGATCTTTCATTTCCGCTTGTATACGCCCCTGATACGAAAGGTTCACAATATTTCACTTCCGCAAAAGATTCTTTTGCGAATAACAGAAATAATTCGTCTGGTATTTTCTATCGATAATCGATTCTCGAAGTAAGTCTCAACTGTTTTTTTTTTCGACAGAAATGCAAAAAGTCACTAGGAATTTATCGATTTTTGAAAATTCCCTAGGGTCGTGTTACATAACCTCGATCTTCCGATCATACCGAAATTTTAATGTACCTAACCTATCGGTGGGAAAATTTAATAGGTTTTCCGTATCACGATTTTCGGTGACTGCGAAAAGGACCAGGCTGATCGAAGGGCGACGGTGGCCGAATTTAGGGTCCTTTGGGAATAACGGAATTCGTTAGAGGGTAACGTCCTCGGTGGGTCGTACGTCAACCTAGATGGATAAATTATCCAATGCGAAAAGGTCACTTTGTCCCGGAAAGAAATTCCAGGAGTTATTACATATTTACGTATCTTTGTAGTTTGATGAAAACGTTAATGTACACTTGACGATCCACGAGACGAGGATATATATACTTTCGGATATGTACACAGCCATTGCGAGTTCTTAATTCTTAAGGCGCCACTAACGTTAGAATTTCCCTAAGCGACGAATGGCCAAAGTTTATCGGGCTTCTCGCGACCTTTATGACCGTAAAGTTACGGCATTTATGAAAAACGAGCTCCCTGCCAAACTGCCGGAGTACATTAAGAATACTCGTATTACCGGGTAAAAGTGTATGGCGGTTGGTTGTAAGGAGTTGATGTGGAAAAAAAGAAATATATGTCTCCCCTTTCACGGCGATGAGAGACTCCTGGTGGAAACCAGACGCGACGCATAATGGCGTAGCTCATCCTATCGTTGTTTTCTTCATGACAGATTTATCGTCAATGTTGCAGTTTAATTGAATTCCAGTTTGCAACATTTGTTAACGAGACGTCCGGGTTCGTCGTGCGCTTATAGGCCATTACTTGGTTACATGGCGCAAGGCCGTCTCGCAATTTTTTTTCTTTACATTTCATATTCAAATATAATCGTGTAGTGATATTTGAAAATTATTCGACCAGTTCGTTTATGTCAGATCAACGTGCTAAGTCTAATCGTTATATCCACGCTGTTTGTTAACGCTTGATTAATTATTAATATATCATAGCGTAACACGCGTACCAACTAGACGATACAATCTTGTAGGTTATTTATGCACGTGATGCTGTGCTAATAGTTTTACGGGTTAGTTTGTAAATCTGTATACGTACTGGTCGATTAAGTTTTATTTGTAAAACTAAAATTCTGCCTGGTACTACAATTGCTGGGATAACCCAGCAATTTAATGTAGCTCGGGTAAACTTTCAAGTTTTCAAAGTCGACGAACCAACGACCGGAAGTTGTTGGAAAATAGTAAAAGAAGATCTGCGAAGAGGAATTTTAGTAAGAGGAGGATACGTCATTGCGCTTGAAATCACATGAAAACTAAAATATACGTACTTAGCTCTCTCTCTCTCTCTCTTCGATCGTAGATTTGAAACAGTCGTATTTCGAGGACTGCACACGCCTCGAATTGATAGAATACCACGAGCCTTCTTTCTCGGTCGCCTCTCAGCCCTTACGAACTTTCCTGTTAGTTGGAACGGAAAGTTGTTTGAAGTACGACACGCCGGTGGCAGATAGATATAAACTTTTTGAAAGCATAGCCGAGACGACAGCCAGTGGAGTCGATACTTCCGCAGCATCTCTGTGAAATGGAGTGAAGCGTTCATCATACTCGAGTTTCGGAATCCTCAAGAAACTTTATTTTCTCTACATGAAACGATCAGTCGTAAAATTTTCGCCATATTGAGAATCCGTAAGGATTGCTGTACCATGTGAGTAGTCATTGACAGTATTAAATGATTTTAAAAAGAAAAACGTCATTCAATAACAGAGAATGTACGTAACGTATCGAGAGTCAAGTAAATTAATGATAAATATATCGTAATAATATATTCTTCCGAAGCTTCATAACGATCGGTACATAATATTTTTCTGAGAAAGATATGATACCATCCCGGTAAGTAGTTGAGTCAGAATATCGTGTTCCAGTAAGTGGGAAAAAGAAGCTTACCTTCCGACTGCCATAGTAAATCCTACAGTCGAGAAGGAAAATAAGAAGCTCTTAATTCCAATCTCAATCAAAGATAAGCTCCAAAGAATCTTGAAAACACCCGCGTTGCTAGAACGCGAGATGCCATTTTGAATTTGCCGTTAAGTCGTGTGCGTCAGTAATTCCAATCGACGACGCCAGAGCGAGTTACTAGTAACTGTCATGGCCGCCTCCGTATCCTCCTTGACTGCGAGTCTCCTGTACTTACTCTTTAGTGCGCGCTTACTTTCACTCCGCGACACGTAGTTTCATGTACGATAATATTTACTGTGGATTAACGATCCCAATGGAAGCTGCAGCAGTGGCCTTAAGCCGAAGATGCGGCACAGGGCGCGGTGCGGAAATATTGGATATCGTTGCTCGCATCTCAGAGGCATAAAGATACGAGACAGAAATGGCCGGGTGCACAAATGGCCTCTGTTACCAGCTAACGTACTACGTATACCGATTCCTCGAGACTAAACGCAACGTGTTCAAAGGCTTCGCCGTACGATCCTACCTGCGAGAGCCGTTATCGATTCGCTCCCTGTTACACGGACAGCAATGAATACGGTAGCATTGCTGGGCTAATAACGTATGTGTATCGACATTGCGGAAAGTGCAGCGCACCTCTTTCAGTACCAAGGTAATTTTTATGATTTAAACTAACTGCACTCGTAGAAAGAATGTACAGACGGAAAGAAGGACCGACGTAGACGGTTTAAATAAGACGTGTAGGTTAGGTAGTCCTTATGTAACTATTCAAAGGGATGCTGATAGTAGGTAATGGTGTCCTAGAGTATGTTGAGGGAAACGCCAATAAACGACGAAATAGCATGATCGTAGCACAGTACAATAGTCTTGTTTATTTCTCAAAGGAAGTCTGCAGCGTAATGATAGCTACCGAGTGATATAGGTTGAGAACAATAAGGAACCCCGAGTCCCTGGGTCGGCGTTACGCACCGTGGCTAGTTTACAGATGTTACGACAGACTGGGAAAGAGTAAGCGAAAGGTGTAAAGTGTAAAGGGTGCATAGATAGAATCTAAAAGGAGTCATGAGGTGCGGCCTCAGCACTTTACGAGGGTTCACGGATTAGACTTTTATGACAGCCGCTGTTAACTCAGCGACGTGATTTATCGCAGCTGACTGTTTTACTGGTTTCCTTACTGCTCCTGTAACTGTTACGGTCAGGTGTCAACGTGAAAGTGTCGTCGGATTGTCTCCGAAAATGCTTTGCAATTTTTGTTGTTATATCGTGACAGGATTGTAATAAATCAGAACGGAACAAGACGATTTTCTATTACGTTTATCAGCTGCCATTTAAATTTCTTTGTTTCAGGATTGTAGAACCAGTGAACTCAATTTACGATATACAGTTTGAATGCCAGTAATTATTAGACTGGAAAGACATTGAAGTCTGCAGTTGACGTATTCTACTCCTCTGGTCTATTCGATTAATGGATTCTTCGTTACTCTCTAATTAGCAGGTATTATCTGTGAAAGGGCTCAGTTACTCTTCAGTCTCAGTTCAGCTGCAGATAAGTCGTGCAATTGTGCAAGTAAGAATTAATAAAGGGAACCTGGAATTTCTCTTTGAACTAGGCCGATCGAAAGATCGAATTCATTCGTGCCTTAAGAGTGGCGTGTTTCGTTAACGTTATTTTTGGGGTTTTCATTGTTCTCTCGAGCAGCTGCCCTCACGCAATGAGAAAACGCGAGTCTGCTGGGTTTCGAATGAGGAATCGATTTGTATCATTATATCCAAGAATATCGTTCTTTCTCTCTCCCACTTTGCATTTTGCTATACTTACTCAATTTTCGAAAAGCATCTGTTGCATCTCTCAACGGCATCAATTCAATCTACTTCACTGGTCCATGTACCTGAGGGGAATGATGGCCCGTAATAGGGTTTCGCCAAAGAATATATTTTCCGAATTACGTGCTATACATCGACAAGCAACATTGTACTCTACATGTAATACGTGATACGCCTGCTTATAGGTTTTCCAAGGAAAATTGTACAATCTATATATACATATATCGTATACTGGAGAGCAGAAGTACCTCTTCCACCAAGTATTCTTTGCACAAGCAGGAAATCATGTTTGACATGTCCAACCACGACGCAGACATATGAACCAAAGCTCAAAATGAATGTTAATTCGAACTTTTGAAATACCCCATTTCAATAGGATATGTGAAACACTACATTTCCATTACCGTCATAAACCGTCATATACACAAATGCAATTTGTGTTATCGAACCGCATAAAAGCTCTTTTAAGTAATACAATTATTCTACACGAATGCCGTGTATTTGATATGCTCTACTGAATTGCCTTTTTTATTTCTCTTTCAGATTTACGCTAATAAAGGAACATTTAGTGGAATTTAATCAACTTGCCATGGCTAATGCGGAAGGTTCAGACAACATGTTGAATAGAGTCATGCCAAAGGACAATATCGGTTTGGCAGCCCTACTTAGGACAAAGGAGGCCGCATGGGATAATGGTGAGTGAATTACGTAATATGTTAAATGATTTGATAAATATTTTTAATTCTTAACTTCCACGAGTCTAAAGGCAGGTACGTCCAGGCTCGTCGGTGGATTTCTCATAAGCACAGGATTAACATGATACGTGCAGTAACGATGCTGGATCACCTTTGTCTCCTTTGTATAAATTTAATTTTTAAAAAAGCCTCTCGGCTCAAAGGACTTTCCAAAGTCCCTTCAACGTACCAGCCGTTGGATAAAAAACGCAATGCCTGTCCGTCATCTACTTGAAGCAAAAAAAAAAAGGATAATGACGACTGATAAAACCCAATAGTCGCTGTGCCGTTCTCCCGGCGCTCGTTAAACAACTTCTTTATCGCTGACTCTTCGGATTTGCCAGTTATTCCGGGCATTGATGTTGCTCAAACAATGGAAGCTTTACCGTGACAGCGTAAGAAAAAAGGGTGCAGCGAGTAAGCCAAAGAGGAATAAGGATAGCATAAAGAAAAGAAGACAGGATCTCGATGGATAATAGAAAAATCTCTGAAGGAGCGACGTTGAAAATCGCTGATTGCGAATCGCAAGTACTCGATAAGCTCATCCGTCGACGTTCCAATAATCCATATATACTTGTCTGCCAGTTGCAAAGGCTTTAGAAATTTTCTTTTCTATGATCTGCATATTTTCACGTGCCTCGCGCAGACGTACACGACGTATCGTTCCTCTGGTAGATTAACCCCACCGTTTGCCCCTCCCCATTCGCACGGCCCTGGCCTTTGGGAATTTTCTTTTATTCTATTTTCTTTTTTTTTTCCCCAGAACACATGTAATTGGCCCGCAGTCTGCACTGTAGTAACGCAATTGCAGAGTTAACGTTCCTTTACGTATTATTATCGTAGACGAGGGGTGTATAATTCAGTATTCTGCCAGGACGTCGTTACGTCCCCGTGACAAATGGTGGAACGACACCCCATAACGATCGCAAGGGACGACGGGAATTTCAGTGGGAAAAACAACGCGTAACCGTCGTTCATCGAGCTTTCTCGTGTATAATGACTTTTCGCCGTTGACGGTTAACGAGCGTTAGAATACGCATTTCTGTAATTGAAGCCAATTAACGGGCAATCAGCCGTAATTGATGGAGGGATGCAGCCTGATCGGTAAGCAGTATAAATTGGCATAGTGAAAAATAACATCTGTACAGGACCCAAGTCTCACAGGGACGAGTGCCACCTAATAAATCTGTGCCAGCCGTGCCAGACCTCCTGCGTGTCCATCTGGATGCCATTACGAGAGGATTAATAAGTGCGTTGAAATACGAGGGGAAGTATCAAGCAAGAGGATACACAGAAATATGGCCGCCACTTTTAATTGCCCTGGAATTAACACGCAATAGTCTTACCTGGCGACAACACCGAATTCGCATTAGGATTAACCGACTGTAATAAACAACTCTTGTCTTCGCGTTCGTAATTGTATTCCGGGTTCTCGCGTTTACTCGTACGTCACACGTCGACGTAGACGGCGACGACGTCTCCTGTCCCCTTTGCTAATTACGGCCAAAGGGAATGGTCCGGGAAACACTTCCCTTAGAATTTAGCCCCCATTATAAAATTCAACCGCATAATTAATTTCTGACACGCGGACCAGCTCGCCCGGATCTGTCCGATACGCGTTCCTTGAATACCGAACGGGACGCTATGTGGAAAACCGAAAGAATCCGCAAGCAGCTCCGGTTACTGATTAATTAATTAGGCGCACGATACCCCATCGTCTTCACCAGTCTAAATTGAAAGGTACACTCGTTCGACTAGTCATCCACGATCTTTCCTCGTTCTGGGTCACCAGTTGCTCTCTATGACAACTCGTTACGTTATTACCGCATAATATAATAGCTGACCCACGTAGTAATCCGAATCCGTAAAAATGGAATATTCTAATAAAAAAAAGTGAACAGACAACCCGACAATCAATCAGACTCTCGCGTAGCTTAACAAGGGTCATTTTTATTATATCGATTGGTAACGTGCGTAGGTCGAAGGTCAGATGTCATGGAATGAAGTTGCGTGACGTAAGACAGGAGAGGGAAGCCCCATCTGGCGTCTGAACACGAAGGTACCTTTCTTCTATCATCTGCGTCTTCCTTGCCGTCTACCCCCGTTGCCCTCTAATGCCTCTGGTCATTCCAGAACCAAGATCAAGGGCTGGTCCAGTGCATGGAAGCCCGGAAGCAAGCTGGAGTTTGAAGAACGGAAAAGGGAAGCGGCGCTAACTGGTGAACTAGATGGACGCCAGGAGGGAAGGATGAGTGAGGCTCGATGGGATTGTAAACGGATGAGTGGATGCTGTGTGGAGGAAGGAAGCTATCGCAAACGCATTCGGGTCGTGAGGCCAGAGGAGTGGCTGTAAAGGCTTTCACGGTCGACAGCCCGATATTATTAGCTCTGACACTTTGACTGCTATAGAATTTATGATTGGCTTCGGTGTACGGGTCGCAGAGGGCGCCCGGCAGTCAGGCACACCAGCCAGCCAAGAAGGAAGCCAGGGAGCTGTCGGGCTCTCTGGGCTCTCTGGGCTCTCGCTCCTCAATCCCCTTGGGGAACGACCTGCCGGCCGATTCGATCTGAAAAAGTTGGACTCTCTATAAGAGGCTGCCAGCCGATAAAAGCTTTCTTGCAAACCTACTCTTACGATATTGATTCCCTTGTTATTTATTACCCGAGAGACGGCCTGGCTCACTTCTGTACCCAAGGAACTCGGTCCTGGACCACCGTCCGACATTCAGATGCTCGTACTCCGTTTTAATCTTAAATTATTTATTTTTATTTTTGGAAGTGCCTGCTGGACCTATTCTTTTTATTGATCGTCAATTATCCTCCTCTCTCTTTGATCGTCTTATTGAAATGTCTTGGAATATCAACCTTCATCCTCTTGAACTCTCTTCTGCGTCACGTGGAGCTTTACTGGCTACCTATGTGCTCTTATGGCGCTGATTGTTAGGTGGGTACTTCGCACGGTATTGATAGGTTAGAGCTGTAGGTACGGGGAGGGTAGCAGGAGGCTGCTCGTTACGGACGGCTCGTAAAGATCATGATTGAAGATTTTCTTGGCAGCAGGTGCCTTCGATTCTTGAGAGCAATGGCGTCGGATAGCGCAGGGATAGTGCAATTAGATTCGTGTTTCCAGGCGGAATAAACTCCTCGGTATCGAGACTCGGCGCTCGTTTACAATTCGTTGGGCGTCGTGTTATTGTGATTCATGACTGTATCTTGGGATTTTAGATCCTTGCGCCTTGATCTTATCATTTTATGCGTTACCTTATGGGTTTGGATACTTCATTTCTGGCAGGTTTAACGTGTCAAAGATTTTTTATTTTTTTTTTTTTGTATCTCGATGTTCCTTCACGAATTTATCTTGAAACTTTTAGATGGGTTTATGTTAATGGGATTTTATGGTTATTTATCGTAAACTCTGTTCCTTTGCATTCTTATAATTTATTCGTGTTTGTCTGCTCAGTGGGATTAGTTTGACGATTCATAGAATAATTTATTTTTTTCCATTTAGAAAGGTTATTTTATTAAAATATATTGAGGGACCAATAAGCTTCACATTCACGTTCGCAAATGCTTCGCAGAAACTTTTTCCGACCTGTTGCTCATAACTCATAGGTGATTTAAACGATACGATTAATGGACTTTTTTTTATTAGCCAACCGTAAGAGTATCACCAGCAGCCCATTGTTACACGGATTTTAAGTATCATAACCTGGAAATAAATCACGGTCGATCCTACTGAATTTTATTGGTTGCTGGTATTCAGAATTTCATTGAGGATTCAAGTATTGACGTTATACTCTGCTCCGCCATATTTAGAGTGCGCAATGGGTAATCGCGCGTTTACGATAAAGGAAAAAACGTTTGTCGGCCTTTAGTCGAGGTGCCGGTAAAAATAATTAAAATCCGCGGTAATGATTGGCCATGCTCCGATACTTTCAATTACGAGAAGTCAATGGCGGTAGAAAAACTAGGAGGTAATAATTCTGGGAATCGCAACCGTTCTCTCTCTTGGAGGGGCGCTGCCGACGGGCCTGTGTACGAACGCCGTTTTCTCGCTGACTTCGCGCGATGTTTGCGAGCGCTTAATTGCTTTAGCAGAAAAACTTGAAATTGTGCGGCCGCAGATAGCTCGAGCTTGGCACACCTTGTGAATCATCGAGAAATTACTTCGTTCACTGCGATCGGATACTTCTATTACGATAGAGAAGTTTTTATGACGTCGGGAAAATGGCTGCTTCTGCAATGTAAATAGAGGTAAAAGCGTTTCGTATCGCGTTCAGCGAAATTCCGGAACTAATCTAACAATTCTCTGCCGTGTATCTCTCTTGATCAATTCTGATTTATAGATGGTCGTCATTTACGATTAAAACTTGTTACGAAGTATTTGGTGTCACTTTGACGGTTGATCGATGACGACGTCTGGTGATACTTTAATTAAATTATCTTTGTAATTGCAGTTTAATGACTTCACGAGAATACGCTTTATTGGTTTACTGGAATGGTACCCGGGATTTCACAGGAGTATACCAACTATTTCAGAGAAATCAACCACAGTCTGAAACCAATTTGATTTCACCCATAAAAATGACTTGAGTAGATACTGAAACGTCGTCGAGCTGACTACTGCGTTTAAATCAATGGCTTTAATGATAATGTAAATTACGGGAACTTCAATATACTTTGTCTCGTTAATCGAAACGTCGATTGGCTGGAATTACGGTATAAGCTGGGACATTAATGATGAACCTCTCGGTACGCTTCATCTGCTTTACGGGCTTCTTTATCCTTGTTTCGATCGATGGCTCTTGTTCGTTACAGTTTTTATGGTACATGCTTGATTTACTGTGCGTGACGTCTGGTTTAGGGTTTAAAAAATGTCTTGAGTAACTGCACTTTCACAATTCGTTTTGGGAATTTTCATATAAGTTTTTTTTTTTAATATGTTTTTATTCGCCTTGTCGGCTACGAATGATAGACCTTATGTGTACAAGTGTCGCCATCTCGGTAGTGTGCCTAGAAGAGTTTGCAGAGCAAAGTAAGTATACGGTTTCCGTTTTATAGTGTATTCATTTCCGTCTTGCTGTCAACATCTGGTTTTTCGTTAAATCTGGGAGTAGAAGGACGCGTGCATACTCTGTTCGCGAGATAAAGAATGGCCGGGTATACTGGTCAGGATAATTATTGGTCCCAACCACCTCAGAGCCAATATAACTTTGATACAGCAGGGTTTGGTCAACCTAACCAACAATTTGAGTTCCAATCGTACAGTGAACAACAAGCTGGTGATTATTCGGCTTATCCACAGAAAGGCTTTCTTGATCCTACACAAAATGTGTACGGTGGTGATATCTACACACAGGATGACTATGTCAAGGGTAAATTAAACTGTGAATAGGTATTGTGTCGGTTATACTAACTCTGTTACTTTGCAACACAGGGACTGCTGGTTTTGGCGAAGAAGAAGACGAGCCACCATTGCTAGAAGAACTTGGGATAGATCCTGATAGGATTATACAGAAGACTTTAGCTGTACTAAATCCATTTCATAGACGAGGACAAACCGATGATGCAAATTACCTTTTGCAAGATTCAGATTTAGCTGGACCTGTTACATTTTGCTTAGCTCTTGCTGCATTTCTACTATTGGCTGGGTCTAAAGCTCATTTTGGTTATGTTTATGGCCTTGCAGTTACTTCTTGTATAATGATGTATGTGCTACAATCCTTAATGAGTAGCACTGGTAATATTACACTGTCATCGGTTGCCTCGGTTTTGGGTTACTGTATTCTGCCAGTCGTCGTTCTTGCGGGATTGAGTGTGTTCACTACTCTCAGAGGACCCATCGGTATGCTTCTGTCTGTATTGGCAGTTTCATGGGCTACTTTGTCTGCGTCAAGACTATTCTCTGCTATGTCTGGAGAAGAAAAGCAACGCCTTCTAATCGCTTATCCTTGTCTTCTTCTTTATGGTGTATTTACATTGATAGTAATTTTTTAAGTAATTACAAATTACTTGTACGGTCTTAACTCAAAATTGAATGTGGTTAATGGACTGAACATAAGGAGCCTAAGAGTGATTCTTACCAGAACAATGGAAATTTTCGTGCCAATAACATTATGGAACATTGCTGATTATAGGAAAATAAAATCTTGTAATGTACTCGTATCAGTTATATTAGTTGTAAAATCAACTCTTGAAACAAACTTTTTGGTATACTCATATATATATATTTCTAGCAATATATAAAGTGCTTTGCGATAAATTGCAATCAGTAATGCCAGATATCACAAACGATCATTAGTCTGAAACTAAGCTGGAACTATTTCTGCTGAATCTATTGTATGTTCATTAAAAAATGTATTTATAGTGATTTCACAATCACAAATATATTTTTATTCCTTACCACGACTTCAAATGATACATAATATGGAAAATCTACGGATTTCCTAGAACTAAGTTATTTGTTATAATTTGTAAATAAAGTTCCTACTGGAAATACAATATGACATTTTATTACTTTCATCCTTCCTCCCAATAAAATGAACTGCGAAAAATTCTCTACATTCTGTGATCACATCAATCGATGCAAATGTTTAAATAATTAACTAATTGTCTATTCAACACTCGGAATAATTCTACTAACGAAGAACTTTATAATTGTCATCTACATTAAAATTAACTCATTGCGTCACATTGTACTATGTCAAACAATGAGCTGAACCATAATTTTTTATATTTGCAGGCCTTCCCTCGGATCCAGCACAAGTTCAGCAACCTATCTTAGTTTGCACAGCGCACATTCACTGGGATCCTGAGTTCTGCGATGTCAAACTAATTCAAACAATGATGTTAAGTAACGAATTGCGTTCCATTCTAGACCAAGCAGGCCAATCATTTAGACCTGGTCACAAACCTGACTCTTCTAATGTTCAATTACTGCTCTGCGGTGACTTCAACTCTTTACCTGACTCTGGTAAGTCTCATCGTGCCCCTTCAACCTTAACAGTCATTTAGCAATATCATTATATTAATAAAAATCACTTCTCATTGTTACAGGAGTGATCGAGTTTCTGACATCTGGACGGGTGGCATCAGATCACCGTGACTTTAAAGAGTTGGCTTATAAATCATGCTTACAAAAGATCTCTGGCTGCGACAAGCCTAATGAATTTACACACTCGTTCAAACTTGCGTCGGCATACAGCGAAGATATCATGCCCTATACGAACTATACGTAAGTCATACTAACTTCAGTGAACTTATATCCCTGTTACAAGCGTATCCCACACGACGTGATCCTCTTAAAAATAAATATATCTCCAGCTTAACCATGTATATTTCTTTTTCTCTTTCAGATTTGACTTCAAAGGAATAATAGACTACATTTTCTACTCGAAGCAGAGCATGGTACCTCTGGGACTTCTAGGCCCCTTGAGTGCTGACTGGTTTAGAGAACACAAAGTGGTTGGCTGTCCTCATCCCCATGTACCATCCGGTACGTTTTACGTTTCATTTGATTTTCTAATTGTCAATCCTAATTAGAGAGGATCCATTTATCGGATGATCGATGTCATTTATATTTCATGTTACAGATCACTTTCCTCTATTAGTTGAACTGGAAATGACGCCAACAGTAGGAACCAGCAACGGTTTGATCTCACGCAGGTAGCAGCCGCTGCGATCTAGGCCCAAGTAACAATAAGGAAAATAATAAATAATAACGATAATGAAAGCCCTATCGCTCCTTCTCTTACATTCTGGCTCTAGCAATACCACTCGCCGTCGACTATTATTACTCTATAATAGCGAATACTACAATACTCCACATTGCCGCACATTCAAAAAACCGACAGATACTGATAAACAATTCTTATGACCAGGTGAAGGGAGCCGTGTTGTAATGCGTTTAGCCCATGTATAGTGTATTGCATTTTTAAGAAGTAACTTTCCCATACTAAGGATATCGTAATGTCTATTATCATGGTAATATGTAGATACCTATTTTCCTACAAAAAAAGATGATAAACAAAAAAAGATGAAGATGATATTCCGATCAAGCCTCTGTGATATTGACATTAACAATTGGAACAATTTCACATATTTATTAACAAATATTAGCGTCTACTAGTTGAAGTCCTGACCTCTTCCTAAATGTCATTACAACATTCTCCAAGCCAACTTTTTGATATGAATGCTGCCATCCACTGAGAAATTGTATTTTTAAACAAAACGAAGACAAAAAAAATATAAAAACATACACGCTATACTGGGCTGTGCGAAGTGATTGGAGTTGACTTAACAATTTCAATGCAAGTACAAATCTGTTCTTATTGGCCACGTATATTGATAATGATAATGTTATATAAGGAAATAGGTAATATTGTAGCGAGTGTATTTGTAAGTATGATAATGTAATGATGTTCACGTATCATAGTGTCGTAATACTTCAGTTGACATTCACTCATTAGCAATTGTTCAGTTCCATTTATTAATGTATACCGTATCGATTATCTACTACTTGCTCATTCAGTTGCGAAATGGCGACTCTACGTTTCTTAAGTAATTTTGAACATTCGCTCGCCAGTTTCAGCTTTGACTACCCTAGCGAAATTGCAATCTTTCTTTCTTTTCACAATCTACTCTTCCTAATCACACGTGCAATCAAACGAGCGACTTCTGTCTTAAAAAAAAAAAACTTAATGAGGATCCCTGAGATAGTCGAGAGAGAAATTTATATTTTTTACCTACAGAGCCACGTGCAATATTATTATATAAATTTGGAATTTCGGATCATAGGAAATCGGAATGTCAGTGTCTTGGATTAAGTGAATGGAATAATTGTAAGTGATCGGCACAATTTATTTTGCAATTCGGATTATAATATATTTCAGATTTCAATAATTAAGAGATACAGCGGTATTCACTAACTTGTAATATTTAATCCTTGAAGGAATACGTATATCGAATCACTAAGCTTCATGAACACTAACGTTCTCCATTGATGCTGTTGATTTTTTTTAACGACGTTCGGCTCAGGTGTAGTGAAAGCCGTACGAATGATTTTCTAATGCGCCGTCGACGGCCTTAATGGACAACTGAATAAAGCAAGTAGTAAAAAGGATGAGGTTTCTTCATGCCGTAATTGTAGTAAATGTTGTATAAAGTAGGTAATTGCATTTTAGTTTTAATGAACAACTGTAGGGTTGATAATTCTGTATTTATATATTGAATTTGTCGAATGTGTTTGAAATATTTTTCTTATGTCAATGCATATTGTAATGTTTCTCCGACAAGACACACCAAACTGAAACTAGCTTTCTAAATGATCTTTGGCCTAATTTCACGTGACGCGCCGAGTGTCATTTATCAATCACGAAATTCAATATAGTTTTCAATTGAAACGCTTCCTCGGATGGCAATGAATGCAAACACGACACATCGATCGTTCTTGCCAATTGGCAAGATCTTTTTTGTTATCAGTATATATATAAATGTCGACGGTCGATTTCTCAGAGAAAAATATCAGTCCCGGTCTAGTCTTTTTTTTTTTCTTTGTAAAAGAAAAAGACTAGATATATACTTTTATCTTGTCATCCGTCATCACTCTTGTATCCAGTTGAGTCGTATGATTTTTTGTTTTTCAAAAAAAAAAAAAAAACTGCCGATACTTCATTGATATTCGGAACAATGAAATTGTTCGTCGCTAAAATGCCTATGCTTTTCGTATACTGTGTGAATTTCAGTGCGCATCGACGTAATAATTACAATTTAATTTACCGTTACCATTAGGAAACGCGTGACAATGTGATTGAAACAATATTGCCTTTCGTCCGAACCATTCCGAACATTATTATAACATACGTATTAATGAACTGGCATAAGAAGACTTTGCGCTACGCCCAATGGCAATCGTGATCTTTTACGTTGTACGTCCTCGAAAATATTTTGTCCTGCGTATGCGTGCGTTGTCGTAATAAATGTAGACAAATTTTCAAAAGGACCAGGCAGTACCGATGTCACTGAAAAAAAATGATTGGTCATCTAAGGGCGAAAAAAGAAACTCGATTTTCATTGTAAATCTAACCTAAACCGTATAGTTGCACGTACACGGGACAAGCGAACGATAGTTTAATTTGAAATAAACGTAGCAACCGCTGCCGTACGTTGACCAGGTGCCAAATTAGTGCAGCACGCAAAGGCAAGGAAGTATTTCCGAAAAAGGACAAATACCCAACAACCGAGAATAACCACCGAGACTTACGAAGCTTAACGAGATATCACGTTACATTCGATTACCTTACAATTAGCATGTTACGTTATAAGAATATTCCTGTCGAACCTATTGTTAGTGATAGAGGGAGGGTGGCTGGGTGGATGGGGGGATAATTAAGTGATGATAAACCAAATGATTGGCACGGGAGAGCATATGGGTATTAACGAAAAAGTTTCTATTGCGAAGGAATGCGTGTACTATATTCCATTGAGGATAACAGTAATTATTATTCGTTAACGAGTCGACTTTTTTTTTTTTTAATATTTAGATATACGCAGTTGTTCTCTTATTTTTTTTTCAATTTATATTGTACAACAATCGCCACATTGTGATTGCGAGGCAAAAATGCTTAATGACTTAGGGCTTAGAAATTTAACACGTGGGATTCGTCAGGACTATGTGCCTTCGATGAATCATTATATTACTCTATAATTTTTATAAGTATATGCACGCATACAGGGTGTTTCGTTGGACGTGTCAGATTAAGAATTTTGAGCTGATCCCAGCAAAGTCATAGCCCCATGCACCCCCATTATTTTTTACTCCTACAGTTTGACGGTGGTGGGAGTTTAGTCACATTTCCCACTTGTTGAACTTATTTAAATCTCTTTAATAGTGGGGAACGAGCGTGGGCTGTCACTTTGCTCGAAAAAAGCCTCTGTAAGTCCATTCGACTCGTTTTACGGAACGCCCTGTATAGCGACGAAAGATCAGTCTACGGACTTGCTCCGGAATTCATCAGTGGCTCTGAATAAGTCTTGCGATTGTCGCCGTTAGCCGTTAGCCGAGCTGTCGAGCTTCAGGATTAATGATTAATACGTCTCTCTGTCCCAAGTGGCAAAGTCTGAAGGTACCTTGATCATAGCGTCATACTATAGAGAATTTCAAAGTTACGTTACGTCATTGCTTGCATTCTGTTTGAAGATATTTGATTTTCCTTCTCTCTTTCTTTTTTTTTTTTGTCAACCTGAAATACATTCGGTTACTTGTTACTCGTTATATATCATTAAGGAGATATATCATTAATTAATGCCGTGACCTTTGTACCCAGAGTCCTTTTCACACTGCCGAAATTATAAGCATAATAATGCGAAAATTCGCAATCGTTGACTGGAATGGAAATGAAATTTTTTTACGAACGACTTGTCGACGACAAAGAAAATTTCTGCGATATCATTTTATTCTGTCAGTGACGCGCGCTCCGTGTACTGCGTTTTAATGCAGACTTTTTATTATTATTTTTATTCGATTGAAATTACGAATTTTCGTATTCGCATGCTCGTCTATTATCTTAGTATTTACGTTTCGCACGGTCCGACGAATCGGAGAAGGCAAAAGGTGATTTCGCAATTCTGGAGAAATGTAAATTTGCACGATTGGTGGAGGAAACGAAAATTGGAGCGCTCGTTGGTATTAGCGTTGATTACCGATTGGCATGATTTTGAATTCGCATAATCTAATTGGCACATTGGCCAAGGGGTCATTGTGTGATTTTACTTTACGGTACGTTAGTTAACGTCTTAGGATATCCGAACGTCTTCTTGCACTGTGTCGGCTGTCAATAAATTCGTTAATTAATCAAATAAAATAACGAGCCTCGACAGCAACTGCGATTTCTAGGGATTAATCGACTTTTCTTTGCTTTTACAATTAATTGTAATATAACTGAACGCTGTATGTTACTTTGGTAAAGCAAATATCGTGTATTGTATTGTCGTTACATTACGCTTTCTGGATAAGTTTGATGAATCGTATCAATAATTAGTATTAATCATTGCTTGATTCGTGATTCGGTAAAATCTCATCTGACAGACCCATATGAAATGGATGCTGAGGCAAAATTTCAAAAAAAAAAAAAAAATTATTAACCCGCTTTGAGCAAAAAAAAAGACTTGATTAACGAAAAAAAAATTGTATTAAGGATAATTTTGACAGACATTTTTTTTTTATTATCACCAACAAATAAGAGTAATTGTTCGAAAAAAAACTGCCAATTACAATCAGCTTGAAATTCACGATAATAATAATACCCGTTACTTGAGCAATCTTAAGAATTACTATCGTCCTCATAGTCTACATGGGAAATCAGCGAGTACTTTGCAAACGGTCTAAAAAAAAAATAAGTCATTAACCAACTATACGACCCTGATAATTCATATATCCAAATACGCTAATAACTTCGAATACACAACCAGCGATCCATTTCTGATAACGTTAAACTCCAACCCGAAGCAAACTACACTTTTCATCGTCATATTCACCCCTTTCTCCCAAATCACGACTATGATGACGGTTTATATAAATTAAAAAAAAAAAAAAAAAGAAAAATTATACTAACACACGTGACCTCGTTCATCGTGACTCCTTAAAAGTCTCTAGCAGGGGCCGTCGGAAAATTGTAATTTAAAAAATGCCCTCGTCAACAACGAATTTGACATTGTAAATAATTACTTGTAAAATTAATCCACGAGCTATATATATATATACGCACATAAATATATATATGATTGTACAAAGTCATTCGGCGCGTTAATTCATTAAGCATTGTACAGAAGAAAAAAAATCATCCGCTTCTACGTAAAATTGAATTTGGACCATTCGCGCTGTCTTATTTTTCTTCCCATCGAAGGAAAGTAGTAATCGTCATTAAGTATCC